ATTTCCCTTATTTAAAAAGTTTTTTGTCTTTTTAAGTCCCTTTTTGTTGTGGAAAGCCCTTTTTAAGTCTTTGAGCCCTTAGGAATTTCCCTTTTTTTTTGGGTTTTAAAATTTCCTTTATTTTGGAAAAAAGCCCTTGTTTTTGGTTGGAAACAACCCTGTTGTGTAAGGTCCCCCGGGAACCCCCGTTTTTTTCGGTACAGTTTTTTTTTTTGGGGCCGGAAAAAGCCCCTGAATAGAGAAAATAGTGTTTTAATAAAAACCAATGGAAAAAAATGGTGATATAATAATTACACTGGAGATAATGGTGATATAATGATACCACTTGGAGAAAAATGGTGATATTGATAATACATACTTGGTGCATAATGGTGATAATGATATTACACACTGGTGAAATGGGTGATTATAATAATACCATACTGGTTGAGAATGGTGATATGATAATACCCACACCTGGAAAAAAATACATACACGTTTAGAAAGCGTCGTTGGAGTCCTTACCATTGTCCCTTATATTGTCGTTCAGTCCTTTGCTTTGCCGATAAAAGTCCTTTGTAATTGTTGCGGAAAGTCCTTCATTTGCCGGTAAAGGGCCCATTGTAATTTTGTCCGGTTTAAAGTCCCCTACTGAAGTCCTTTTGTCGTTTTTAAAGCCCGTATTGTCGGTACAGTCCCTTGAATGCGTATTGGGAGTCCCTTTACGGTAGTCCTTTTTTTGTCGGTACAGTCCTTTATTTGCCGGTAAAGTCCCTGTTATTGTTCGGTACAAAGTCCCTTTTGATTGTCGAGAAAGAGTCCCTACGACAGTCCGTTTTTGTCGGTACAGTCCTTTATTTGCAGGTAAAGTCCCTGTTAATAGAGAGAATAGTGATATCATAATACACACTGGTGAAAATGGTGATATAATAATACATACTGCATAGAATTGTGATATTATAATACACACTGGTGAAAATCGTGATGTAATAATTTATACTGGTGAGAATGGTGATATGATAATTAACACTGGAGAAAATAAATACATACACACATACATACATACATACATACATACATACATACATACATACATACATACAGACAGACAGACAGACAGACAGACAGACAGACAGACAGACAGACAGACAGACAGACAGACAGACAGACATACAGACAGACAGACAGACAGACAGACAGACAGAAAGACATACATATATACATACTTACATACATGTGTGCATGTTTACAGTACCTGCCCGGTAAAGTCCCTGATGCGTAAAAACACGTTAGAGTTGTCGTTGGAGTCCGTCGTACCATAAGTTCCTTACATGTCGTTACAGTCCTTTTTTTGCCGAAAAACCCTTGAAATTTTTGGGGAAAATTTTCCTTCTTTCCCGGAAAAAGGCCTGAAATTTGTGGGTTTTAAGTCCTACTAAAGGCCCTTTTTTTTAATTTAAATTTCCCTGTAATTCGGGGTTAAGTTTAAATTTTCTTTAGGGCCCCTTAGTGGGTCCTTTTTTTGTGGGTTAATCCTTTTTTGCGGATAAAGTCCCTTTTTATTGTGGGACGGGTCCCTGATTTTCCCGTGATTTCCCTAAAATTTCCGTTTTTGTGGGTACGCCCTTTTTTTCCCGGTAAAGTCCCTTTTAAATAGAGAGAATAGTGATATCATAAAACACCTGGAAAAAATGGTGAATATAAAAAATCTTTACTGGTGAAAAAGGGTGATTTTGATTACCCTGGGGGAAAAACTCACTTTTAGAGTTTTCTTGGAATCCGTACACAGCCCTTTTTTTTTTAAGGGTCCTTTGTTTGGGGTTTATAGTCTTTTTTTTAATTGTGGGGAAAAGCCCTTTTATTTCCCGGGTTTTAAAGCCCCTTTTAATTGTCAAATTAAATTTAACTATTTAAAAGTTTTTTTGGTCTTTTTAAAGGGCCCTTGAAATTTGTGGGGTAAAAGCCCTTTAATTTTCGTTGAGCCCAAACGGTAGCCCTTTTTTTGTCGATACAGCCCTTTATTTCCCGGGAAAAGCCCCTGTTTTTGGGTTGGGAAAGCCCCTTGTTTTTTCGAAAGAGCCCCTAAGAAGCCCGTTTTTTTTCCGGAAACGTTTTTTTAATTTCCCGGAAAAGCCCCTGTTAAAGAGAAAAAGTGATATCTTTAAAACCACTGGAAAAGGACGGGGGATAAAATAATAACCGGGGAGATTGGAGATTGATGATAACACACGGAGAAATTTTGGTGATATGATAATACACACTTGTGAAAATGGTGATATAATAATACATACTGCTGGGAATTGTGATATGATAATACACACTGGTGAAAATGGTGATATAATAATACATACTGGTGAGAATGGTGATATGATAATACACACTGGAGAATTACATACATACACACACACAGAAATACAAACATACATACAAACATACATACATACATACTTACAGACAGACAGACAGATAGACAGGCAGACAGACAGACAGACAGACAGACAGACAGACAGACAGACAGACATACAGACAGACAGACAGACAGATATATATACATACTTACATACATGTGTGCATGTTTACAATCCTGCCGGTAAAGTCCCTGCTGGTAAAACACGTTAGAGTGTCGTTGGAGTCCGTACCATAGTCCTGATATGTCTTACAGCCCTTTGTTTCCCGAAAAAGGTTGTAATTGTAGGGAAAGCCCTTCATTTCCCAAGAAAAAGCCCCTGTTTGTCGATTAAGCCCCTACTGAAGTTCTTTTTTCTTTAAAGCCCTTTTGAAATTTTCTTTTCACCCATAAAGTGTATGAGCCCCTAGGTAGCCCTTTTTTTTTGCCCCGGTAAGCCCTTTATTTCCCGTTTAATTTCCCTTTGTTTTTCGGAAAAGTTTGATTGTGTAAGAGTCCTAGACAGTCCGTTTTTTTGGGTGGGTAGAGGGGTTTTATTTCCCCGGTAAAGCCCCTTTTAAAATGGAGAGAATGTGAAAATTAAAACCCCTGGGATAATGGTTTTAAAAATAAACATTTGGGTTTGGGTTTGATTAATGATCCACACGGGGAAAGGGGTGATTTTGAAAATCACTTTGATGAAAAAAATGGTGGATATAAATAATACACCACTTCTGGTGAGAATGGTGATATGATAATACACACTGGTGGAAAATGGTGATATTAATAATTCATACTGGTGAGAAATTGTTGATATGAATAATACCACCACATGGAGAAAGAATACATTTACGATACACACACACATACATTACATACGTTACATACATACATACATACATACATTACATACATATCATAAACATACATATTTACATACAGACAGGGACAGACAGACAAAACAGACAGAACAGATTACATATATGTGTGCATGTTTACAGTCCTGTCGGTAAAGTCCCTGATGGTAAAACACGTTAGATTTGTCGTTGGAGGTCCGTACCTTAGTCCTTATATGTTCGTTACAGTCCTTTGTTTGCCGAATAAAGTCCTTGTAATTGTACGGAAAGTCCTTTCATTTGCCAGTAAAGTCCCTGTAATTGTCGATTAAGTCCCTACTGAAGTCCTTTTTGTCGTTTAAAATCCCTGTAATTTTGTCGGTACAGTCCTTGAATGTCGTATGAGTCCCTACGGTAGTCCTTTTTTGTCGATACCGTCCTTTATTTGCCGGTTAAGTCCCTGTTATTGTCGGTACAGTCCCTGATTGCCGTAAGAGTCCCTACAACAGTCCGTTTTTGTTGGTACAGTCCTTTATTTGCCGGTAAAGTCCCTGTTAATGGAGAGAATAGAGATATCATAATACACACTGGAGAAAATGGTGATATAATGATACACACTGGAGATAATGGTGATTTAATGATACACACTGAAGAAAATGGTGATATAATAATACACACTGGTGAAAATGGTGATATATTAATACATACTGGTGAGAATGGTGATATGATAATACACACTGGTGAAAAAGGTGATATAATAATACATACTGGTGAGAATGGTGATATGATAATACACACTGGAGAAAATGGTAATATATTAATACACACTGGAGATTATGGTGATATAATGATACACACTGGAGAAAATGGTGATATGATAATACACACTGGTGAAAATGGTGATATAATAATACATTCTGGTGAAAATGGTGATATAATAATACATACTGGTGAGAATGGTGATATGATAATACACATTGGAGAAAATACATACAACCACACACACATTATTTGCCAGTAAAGTCCCTGTCATTGTCGGTACAGTCTCTGATTGTCGTAAGAGTCCCTACGACAGTCCTTTTTTGTCGGTACAGTCCTTTATTTGCCGGTAAAGTCCCCGTTAATAGAGAGAATAGTGATATCATAATACACACTGGAGGAGATGGTGATATAATAATACACACTTGAGATAATGGTGATATGATAATACACACTGGAGAAAATGGTGATATGATAATACACACTGGTGAAAATGGTGATATAATAATACATACTGGTGAGAATGGTGATATGATAATACACACTGGTGAAAATTGTGATATAATAATACATACTGATGAAAATGGTGATATGATAATACACACTGTAGAAAATACATACATACACACACATATACATACATACATACATACATACATATATACATACACACATACATAGATACATACACACATACATACATACATACAGACAGACAGACAGACAGACAGACAGACAGACAGACAGACAGACAGACAGACAGACAGACAGACAGACAGACAGACAGACAGACTTACATACATGTGTGCATGTTTACAGTCCTGCCGGTAAAGTCCCTGATGGTAAAACACGTTAGAGTGTCGTTGGAGTCCGTACCATAGTCCTTATATGTCGTTATAGTCCTTTGTTTGCCGATAAAGTCCTTGTAATTGTAGGGAAAGTCCTTCATTTACCGGTAAAGTCCCTGTAATTGTCGGTTAAGTTCCTACTGAAGTCCTTTTTGTCGTTTAAAGTCCCTGTAATTGTCGGTACAGTCCTGTATGAGTCCCTACGACAGTCCTTTTAGTCGGTACAGTCCTTTATTTGCCGGTAAAGTCCCTGTTAATAGAGAGAATAGTGATATCATAATACACAGTGCAGAAAATGGTGATATAATAATACACAGTGGAGATTATGGTGATACAATGATACACACTGGAGAAAATGGTGATATGATAATGCACACTGGTGCAAATGGTGATATAATAATACATACTGCTGAGAATTGTGATATGATAATATACAATGGTTAAAATGGAGATATAATAATGCATACTGGTGAGAATGGTGATATGATAATACACACTGGAGAAAATTCATACTTATTGACCATTTCACTGCTTATAATATTGTTTATAAATTTGCACACATGTTATTTGAAAATTTAAACCCATTTTGTATTGTGTCCCCAAACTAAAGAGAAAAAACTTGGGGAAGGAATTTGGGAATGGGAAAACAGGGACTAGCCGAGGGGTTTCCTCAAAAAAGGAAATCTTTCATTTTAAATTAATATTCCCTTGAAGTATGGGAAAATTATACAAGCTGACTTTTATACATTGTATTTTTATTTTTTTGGATATTGTTGCAAAATTTTCACAAAAAAAATTTTTAAAAATGTTTTGATTAATAAGTATTTTTTTTCCCAAAAAGTGAAACCCCTTCACCCCCCTAGACGGTTTAAAGGCGGTTTTAAAATTCTAAACATTAAAAAGGGGCTGGACTCAATTATCCCGAAGGACCGGAAATATAACAACACTTAACTTAAGTACTGGACAATTATTTACGGCTTCCACACATCACTTGACACCTACTGTTGTGATGTATAAATATCTGGAAAAAAGTGATCCCTTGATAAAAACAGCAACATTACATGGACATTGCAGACTCGATTTGATTGAGTCTGTAAATGAGGGAAAATGAAAAAGTGCAATATCCCTCACGGTCCCTGAAAGTCGATTTATAACCAATTAATACATATATAAGGACATACTATAGCCGCATTGTTGATAGCACGTGACCAAAATAGCATTTAGTTCACATTTTGAATGAATGACTTGAATAGAATACCCTCTTTGTATATTGACTGAACAAAAAATGCGTAAAGGTATCTAAGATTAAAATTTTAATTGAAATCTCTCATTTATTATTTTATTTATTTATTTATAAGTCGCATAGTTACACGTCGTTTCGGTGTTCATTTTCTATTTCATACCATAATTATATTTCTTTCTTATAAAATCACAAAATAAAGTGGTATATAACCGTGTTACATGTACGCTGCCTACAAATATAGCCCTCCGGAGAGATAATAATGATGATATGGTGACCATGCTGGTGATGATGATGATATTGATAATGATAAAATAGATAAATAAAGAATCCCTAAAGAAAGCCCAACACGGCAAAATTGAAAATGTTGCAGGCTCGGTTTGATTGAGCCTGTTCATGGACGGTACTGGAAAGTGCAAATTACCGTCCACGCCCCCTAGCACCGGCTTAAGCAGAATTCAACATTTAAACATGAAATGGTAGAATTTTGAATCTAGAAACATCCGCAGATGTGTTCATACGGCGGTTATCATGGAACCTTCAATGTGACACTTCCGTGCCATTCCATGAAAAGCGGCGTATGGTCCCCAAGTAATAAAAAGCGTGTGCCCTAAACGAGAAAACAATGGGCGGAACGAAATAAAATAGAATTTTGAAAGGGGATCAGAGGTTATGAAGCCTGCGTATCACAGATAACTTGGTGATGTTTTTTTACGAAGATGATGATGATAACGATTATCATGCTGATGATATCGGTGCAACATAGAGTCTGCGATAGAAAAGGTTTATTAAGTGGGAAAACGTTTACACTTTCCCAGCTGAATATATCAATGTATTAAAGTTTACGACATGATTTTACATACTTTCTTCTGACTCAAAGTGAAACAAATTACACAAGCTGACATTAAACCATGGATATGCTTATTCCTTATTTATATATGTATATCAGAAGTTTCAAGAATAACTTATAAATGAAATACTGAGAACTTTTGATGTAATAAAGTGCGTATTTTCATGTTCCGTATTTTCACTGTAAAAAATATTTTCTCTTTAGTGAAATATATTTTCTTTATTTTCACTGGTGTATCGCCAGACTACGTTCTTCTAAATTCTGTCAATACACAAACTTTTGAATTATTTGACAATGTAATGAAAAAATAAGAGAAAATTGAAATAATATATAGAAAATTTAATTTTTTTATAACTACTACATTTATTTTCATCTTCTGATATGAACATTATTATATTTCCCTAATGGCTGCTGCTACTCATAAAATATTTATTTTCATACCACCCGATAAATATAAAACATGTATTTAAAGAAAAAAGTTTTCTAATTTGTTTTAATGTCGTATAATAATAACTTTTTATTTAACTAAAGAGTAAACTATGTGAAGGACTATTAATTATTAGTGATATAAATTATAGAAGTCGTGGATGAAAGACCAAATAGCAATAATCAACATTTTTTTAAAGAATTTATTCTGTTTTTTAATACATTTTGATGGTGCCGCTTTTAAGGTACACAATCTGATAAGCATTAAACTATCGTATAGAGGGAAAGGTTCCCTTTTCTTTACATAAATTGTAAAGTTTAAACATGAAAATAAATAATGTTTTCATATTTGTATAATGTGGTGGGTATAAATAAAAGAAAGAATGAAAGGAATATATAAAGAGAGAGAGAGAGAGAGGGGGAGAGAGAGAGAGAGAGAGAGAGAGAGAGAGAGAGAGAGAGAGAGAGAGAGAGAGAGAGAGAGAGGGAGAGAGAGAGAGAGAGAGAGAGAGAGAGAGAGAAGAGAGAGAGAGAGAGAGGAGAGAGAGAGAGAGAGAGAGAGAGAGAGAAAGAGAGAGAGAGAGAGAGAGAGAGAGAGAGAGAGAGAGAATGAATGAAAGAAAGAAAGACACATATATTTAGATATGCAAACCTTCAAATTCTCCTTTAAAATGTTCACAGAAATACGTATATGTTAGTGTTCATCCGTGCTGTTAAACAGAAATTAGAAACTTCGACGGGAGCGATAGCGACCGGAGACGGTAGAACAGCTACGGATAAATACTTACATACTAAGTGTCAAAATTTATTTGGTCTTATTACGTAATATTCACTTTTTACGTCACTATCAGTCTGTTTTATGAAACAATTACCTGGATGGTTGGTGTTAATTTGACTAATAAATTTATATGCATTTTATATCACTTGCATGTAGCCTCTTGTTTCAGTTGGGAAATATGGAGGACGGCATATGGCTGATTGCTCGCTATTGAAACATTTATTTTCGACAAAAAATGTTGATGAGTTCGACAATTGATACTCACCAGCTCATATCTGATATTTTATGATTTATACATGTATACACTAAATCACCGGTGCTTGAAACAAACTTTTTGTATATACTATAATATACACATTTGTATCAATATACAGCTATAGGCCGATTATGTAAAATATTTGGTAATGTGATTAGCGCCTGTGCTTAACACGAGATCACGCAATGTATTTTCCAAAAAACATAATTTCTACTTTAACTTCCTATCTACCGAAAAAAAGAAGGTGAATTAACACACGTGACTTTACTCCTAGTACAAATTATTTAAGACCTTTACTTGCATTCGTAATAAAAAATATTAATTGACATTTTGTATTGCTTTTTACTTTAACACATGTAGTATCTTTTTCGCAAAAAAATGACGACTTAGTTATAAATCTGAATGCAAAACTAATTTAAGCTTGACCTTTTGACGTCATTTTTACTTAGCCCACGAAAGCGCATGTCCAAATTTATGATAATGACTATTTTTATCTGAATCACTTTGTAGAATAGGCGACGTACGAACGGAATTTGTTATAGTATCGCCTTTCGTCTTCTATGGAAATTAACACGCATAATTGACGAAATACAGCGTTTTTATTGAATGACAAATAAGGTTGACACTAAATGTAATTTAATAGTCATTTTATGATCATATCAGCAGTCATTATTTAAATTTTATCCGAATTGTTTATTGAATGTCTTTGCCTACAAGATAATAACTGTACATGCACAAGTGAAAGAAATGAAACATTTAAATTAATAATATACTTAAAAATGAAAGTTTAAAATATTTTCTACAAATTCAAAATACCGGTTTATTGTGTATTGATCGGTCTACGTGACTTAACTGACAATCAATACTAAAAATAATCTACTCGGGTATTCCAATTTGTGACGGCACACTTCACAGGTGACTTAATTTCGCGTATATTTGATTGATCGTTTCAGAAGGTTAAAGAATGTTTTTGTTGTGAGTGTAGCTTAATTATGAAAACGCCAGATATTAGCTTTAAACAGGATTATGGTGTGCGATGTCACGAGGTAGACGGGTCAAGAGGTTTTCGGGATATCGAACTTTAAAAAAAGGACTGTACAAAATAAGGTAGCGTTCAGGGACATGAATACGACATATCTATAAATATACAATGGTATGATTTGTTGAATTTTCATTTGCTGCGAATATAATAGCCTCGGGTTTTATGATTCATACTAACTGTTTTAAGTTTTCTTTGATCAGTTGTTCTACTGTGATTTCATATTTAAACATTTGGAATGAAAACATTTGAAAAATGAAACTTGTGCGCCATTGTCAACTTCTTGATTCATAACACTGTGAATGGATTAAAGAGGACACATTTCCGTAAGTAATAAATTGCAATATATCTAGATCATGTATTTCATATTATTTAACTAATACAATATTTTCATTTTCGCTGCATTTTTATCTTATTTTAAGCAGACAGCATCATTTTCATTGAAAAACATGTCTTATTTTTTGTGATGCTTTTTGTTTGTTTGTTTATTTATTAAAGGGACTCCACCAAGGTTTAAATGCCAAACACATAACATTTGAATTTCTTACATAAATAAGTTTGGGCACTTTAAACAGAAATATATGCAAAGATACTAAATTGAAAACCGTAATAATATGCTTTTCTCAGACCGATTTGAGTGAAAAGTGTTTAAACGCTTTTCATTTTGGGTCAATTTTTACAATTTGAATAATTATTCTGGAAAAACAAAGTGCGCGAATGATCTGAAATTTTGCAAAAAGATAAGTGGTCTAAACCTACATCAAATGGTGCATTTATCTGGAAAAAATATTTTCCGTCC